ATGTTGCAACAACACGACCAAACTGTCGTGAAACTTGCTGTCTTTACCTACAAAATTTCGTGAAAGTCCAAGCTGACATTTCACGGTCCCTCACGCGTGAAAAGTCGATAAAATTTCCCCATGGGTACAGAAAGAAAAAGGAATTTAGGGCTCATCCTGCAAATTGTATAACTTTGCAAAGAAAGATCGTTTAGAGCTGTGAGATGCCTCGTTTCAATCAGAAGCATGCGGGCTACAATTATGCCTCATTAAAAAAAATCGTTTTGGTTATTTTTTAGAGTTCTTGAAAGACTGTTTTTCCAGAAAACCGAGTCCTCAAGAGTCATGGGCACGATACCTTTTAGGGTATTTACTATCTCACTGAGGTCTATCGATCCATGTACAAACCATTGGAATCGAAAGGGCACATCTCGAAAAGTTTCTTCGTTAGCAGTTACCCAAGAAAACCAGTGAATCACATACTTGAGTCTAACCTATGGTCATATATATTGGATTCAAGTTTAGATTTCGATGTTCCGCCCGAAAAATTGAATCGGTTTCTTACTGGTAGTTATGCACCAAGTTATCGTTATTAATCGATGACATGAACTAATGCATACCTTTTTAGAACGAATATCTCACCTATAAACAGTATTCTAAACAGTATTCTCTAATGCATACCTTGTCTTTGATACTTACAGATGATGTCAGAGTATTTAAAATTTTCAGGTCTTTCAAATGAAACAGGGAACAATTTCAAATGGGTGTTTTCAAGAATATTTTGAGCCGAAAATCACATTTGCACCAACATATAAATATGAAGTTGGATCAACCGATCGTTTTATATTAACAAAGCAAGGGTAAGTGTAGTTGATTCAGTGAAACTACAATGCGTTTTTGTGCCATCTTTACTAGAAAAAGAAATATAACAGATTCAGTGTAGCAGCAAGAAGGACAGACGTCATTTTGCGTGGAAAATATATTCTTCTAATAAATTTGTTTTATTTTTCTAAAAAATGCTAAACTTAAAGTTAACCTGAATTGTTTTCATGACCATCAGGACGTTCTCTACGTCGGGATACATAGCTCATTTTTTCATCACATAGGACAATAGGGTACTGTTCAGATATTATTCTCCAGGTAAAACTAGGTAAGCGAAAAAATCTATTAGTTAGATTAAACGAAACATCAGTCTAGCTGAAATTAAGTTCTACCTGTAGTGATCACTACATCGGTCGATTTATCGGCAGTTCATTGCCCGATTAATCACCAGCATCTAGCTACACGCAATTAAAGCTACATTCAATCCAGATGCGGCTAGATAGCATTTTCACATATTTCCTTGCATCTATTTTTGTCCATAAAATAGCGAAGTGAAAAGGAAGACGAAAAGGGTAAAACTGAAATTCATTGCCTTCTCGGTTGTTAAATAATTTTTCGGAACGATCAAGTAATTGAGAGATGCGGGTTGTTATATAAATGTCCAGCGGATTAAAAACTATCTTGCAGATTATAACGAGTGATCGTATGGTTGCGAAATTTTAGAAAATTTGAGTGCATAGGCTAATCAACTGCATTTAACGTCTGATTTCTAAAAAATTAGAACCAATAAATTGTAAATTTAGCTCAACAACACAGTATGAATGTGTAATGTGGAGCGTTTCGTACAGCAAAGAATTCTTTATCTTTTGGAGTAAATGTACTGAAAGTTAGAAAAAGGCTTTAATATTTAGTGGATTTTATTATAACTCGCTCGTTATATGTCAGATGGTAGGCCAGAAAAACCTGCATCAAATGATACACCAACAGTGCCTTACATTGTCCTACGTGATAAATTATTGGTCATATAAGAACAAGACAGATGTCCGTTTTGGCCCTGGCTCTCCGCATTTTAGGTATCAAATATCTGAATCATTTGCTCTGTATTTCGTAGAAGGAGCAAAGAATTATTATTTTTTATCTTGATAATTTAGAAGTAATCGTCCGTCTTATTGTGATCGTATCTTTTCTTACATATCTACTGATCAACCACCATTGAAAGTTCAAAGTTATCAAGCATTACATGATGTCACATACAGTGATCATCATCCAGTTCGACTCGATTTTACTTTATTTGATAATAAAACGTCAAAAAGTAGAAGCTAACATGTTGACCTGGTGAAAAGAATATCCATAAACCGACATTGAGTTGTGGATTGCTGACTTGAAGAAAAAAGAAACGTTAACCGTAATTGAAGAGAAGAAATACCGCCTTTTATTTGTAACCAATGTTGATATTAAAAATTGAATATAGGTGATTACATGGGAACTCAACTACGATTACATAAGCATCTATAAATTGATGCATCTTGTTCGTCTGTCTATTAACTAACAACAATGTTCTGAGCATGTACAAGGTCGAAAGGACTATTTGTCATGACTTCTTAGAGTTTACTAATTACATTCAGTTGTCGTGGTTTGACATCTAATGTAACGAATCTGTTGTGTTAGTTACAATAATAAATTGATTCAAAAATGTCGACAAACAGTTGTGGTGACTCGAATGAGAACAATTTTCTTAATAATTTCTTAAGTGAGAATATTTCTAAACCGTACACTCTTGAAGAGAACGTTTTTGTCATATATAGTCTCAAACGAGAACAATTATGAATTGGAAGATAACAAATTAAAGCATAAACTAATTGAGAAGCTTCTTAAGCTCTGAATTAGAGAAAGAGTAATGCTGAAGAGACTGTTTAGACCATCATAAGGCAATGCAAAAGATTGAAGAATACTAAGACTATCAACCTTATAAAAAGGAAGAACTTTTCAAAGCCTTACCGAGAAACAAAAAACCTCATTACCGTTTCCTACTGAAGATATTAGTAAAGACGGTCATAGGTCGTTATTGTGTAAAATATATCGTCATCGTCTTCTTATGCGTAAAGTTGATGGCACTAAAACATGGCGTTGTACTGAGTAAGTTGTCTGCTTAGTATTGCTTCTCTCCTGCTGTTGAGAACAGAGGTGAGTCCAAGTCAAGTCCAACAATAAAAACCTTCAAGTCTGGACCTGTCCACCTCTGGTTGAAAATGAAATCATCCATGCTAAGTATCAATATTTGCGCGGATGTATAGATTTTCAAGAATATTTTAATGCTGCTAGAAAATGTTACAGAATCTTGTACAGTTTGTCAGATGGTCTTTTAAACAACGAAGTTTTGAATACGGAAGCTTGAATATGCATTTTAATATTCTTTACCATCACAGAATCACTACGTTTTGCCATCTATTGCAGTGGCTATTTGTTCTCCTTCGAGAGTGTAGTATTTGAAATGTTCTCTTTTAAGAATAAGTTTATAAATTGTTCTCATTCCAGAGTGCAGCAGCTGAACATGTTCTCCTTTGAGATAGATTATAAAATATTCTTCTCCTTCAATAATGCACAGTTTCAATTTATTCTCAATCGAGATGGCGTCACAAGTGTCACACAGAATTGAAATCGATATGCGACATGTGTTTTGTTCTCTGCTGTTCGATCTAAGGGATATCCTGTCTTCATAAATCCAGTTTCATAAACCACGCATTTATGAAACTTGTAAAAAGTTTCATAAAATTTAGGAAACTTGGATGTTGATTTTTTTAACCCACAAGTTACATAAAAATGAAAAATTTTATGAAACTTGTAAAAAGTTTCATAAAAAGCTTAGCATGGTTCTCAGAGAAAAATTTTCTTAATTAATCAGCAAATGTCTCCGAGAGACCCATGGTTGTTAATTAAATGGGTTTAATTGATGAATTAAGGTAACTGCAGATGTCTCTAAGAGGGTTGTTACAGTAGTATATTGAACAGTAGACAGAAAAAAAGAATAAAAACTACACGACACACTGTATCTCTCTCTGTTGATGATTCATAATCAGCTGGTGCCAAAATAGAACTGCAAATTATTCTATATGTCTCTCAGTAAGTTATTCAAAGAATTCTAAAATGAAAATAGAAGTCAATATCTGTCACTGAGCTTCTTAATATCAACAGAATATGTCTCTGAGCAACGTATAGGTCTCTGAGAGGGTGATTTTTAGTCCTTTTAAAATAAAACATAGAGTTTTTATTCAATTGATTTAGTTAGAACATGTCACTGAGCGATTCATAACTCACCAAGTTACACATATCTCTCCCGTTCAAAATACCGCTTCTTGTACGAGTAAGCATATGTCTCTGAGAGACTCACATCTCACTTAGAGACTTGTATATACAGTTTTAGAATAAAATTTCACATTTTTATACGAATCAGTCTATGTCTCAAAGTAACTCATACTTATCTTGGTGAGATATTAGCACCTCTATTAGGTTGAGTCACTGCGTCTCTACGACCCTCATATAGCACCTAGAGACACATTGATACTGTTTTTAATTAAATAAATCATTATTTTCAATTAAAACACCACAAACACACGTCTCTATGTGACATATACCAATTATATAATGTCATATATGTCTCTAGGTAACATATTAATACTACAATTAATTAAGAAACTAATCAATTAAACCTGCAATAGCATAAATCACACATTTATGAAACTTGTAAAAATTTTCATAAAATTTTGATTTATGAAACTGGATTTATGAAGACAGGATAATCCTATCCCTAGCAGAAAAAAAATATCGACTATCGATCGATATAGCTAGCTAACTGAATACGCTACCCAATACAGCTAACTAGCAATTCAAATCAGGTTATTTACTATCCGGCGATATATTACTCAATATATTACTCGATCTATCGACGGTCGGATTACTCACCTTTTTGTTTTGCAGCCACTGTACCTATATATCCAATACATATACTTCACAAATTTACAAAATTTTTATTCATATCAAGTCAATATATTGAGTAATAATAGACCAATATATTGGAGAATATTACTTTCTGTAATATGTTACAGACAGCAGGATGTCTGTGCCTGTATGGTGACATCCCGGGATGTAATGTCTTTCATGCTGTTAATGCTGAGTCAATATATCGGGCAATGTATCTAATTTGATAGCTAGTGGCGCAGCGGCATCAGACACTGCCCACTACATATCGCGCGATAACTGATCAATGTATCGACTAAATTGATATTCTGATCAGTGTTTTTTGTCAATTCGATATATCAAAAGTGTCTATCTTCGGATAGAAGGACGTGAGATAAAACTTTTATAAATAATAAAGTTAAATTTACAAATATACAATCAAAATAATAATACCACAAATAAAAACTAAAAATTAATCCAAATCTATCTGCTTTGTCAAAAAATTCTAATAAAATAAATACAATAGATGATAAAATAATTAAAAAAGAAAAAAAATAACTACTTGAGACCGAATAACTACCAAACACTTTTTTCTTCCACTTTCTTCGTGAGGGATCAGTGAGATTAAATAGGGCTCATATCTATAGACGATATGTTAATATTAAACTTGGAAGATTTCAAATTCCAGCTCGTTGATGAGTTCCGTTGTTCAAGGATACTTAAATGAAAAATGTTCTTACGAGGAAATCTATGGAGATGTATACTTCGGATTTCGTTCGTTCATACGTCAATCGATAGAGGATATCGAGGTTGTAAAAAGCTAAAACAGATTGCGGGCCGATGGCTTTTATAGCTATAGGTATGTTTTAGTTTTTCGCATAGAAAAATAGAAAAATTCATATCTCGGTTCAGACATGTAGTTAAGAGCTCAAATTTTCTTTTATGGTTGTTCTATATATCTGTGATACATACAAAGTTTTACCTTTACAATTCATTTCGTTCGCGAGTTATTGATTTTTAAATTTTCCATAGATTAGCCCTGTCAAAGGCTCACAATATAATGGCTTCCAAAATCGTTAGTTTTCTGTTGAAACTTTCGCAAATGACATGGTTTTGTAGTCTAGTTTCGTTTATGAAAACAAAAAAGATTTCTCGAGCTGACTGTAGATGCTGAGGTCTCTAGAGATCTTATTGAAAACCGAAGTTACAAAACATTGAAATTATATAATTTCAAGTAATTTTCTGCGTGTGCTGATCAAAACCATATCATTTACGAAAGTTTCAACAGTTCTAGTGGAAAACTAACGATTTGAAAGCATTATATGTAAGCCTATCAAAGAGCTAATCTATGGAAAACTTAAAATTCAATAACTCGGCAATGGAATGAGTTGTAAAGGTGAAACTTTGTAAGAATATCACAGATATATAGAAGAGTTGTATTCGCATCGACAGGTCCAGTGCGGATTCATTCCGGTGTAACTGTTTAGACCGGCTAGTCTCTACCGGTCTAGAAAGATTTTCAAACCGACCGGTGATTGACCAGTTTTTTGCCGGTTTTGAAATTCTTCACTCTGATATATGGTAGAGCTATAGAAAGAAATTTGAGCACCGGATAGAGATATAAATTTTTCCAGAAATTTTTCTGTTTTTCTCTTGGAAAAACAGAAAAATGCCTATAACTTTTGAAGGGAAGCCATCGGCCTCAATCCTTTTTAATTCGATATCCTCTATCGACTGACGTATGAACGAACGAAATCGGAAGTATACATCTCCATAGGTTTCCTCGTTAGTTAGATCGATGACATTATATGCCACAGAAGTTTATCAGTCAGCCCTTAGATCTAAAGTGTAACTCTTCCATTCAAACATGATGGGCTAAGGTGGGGCTTGATGAAAGCTATGCCTAAGCGTGTACGTTTACTATACGTTGCTAACTCAAATTTCAAAAATCATAGAATATAAGGACAGTTTCTTTAAAACACTATTTCTATTCAAATATATTATCCTTTAATTAGTCAATCTATACAACGTATATTCAGTATTGTCCGTGGATTCGCGTACGTCTGCAGATGTTAGCGGGATCGAGGAGGTATGGGTGGATTTTCATTTTTCCCGTAATTTCTCCCTTTACAAACTTTTACTCCTTGTTCTTCGTCTTTCAGTGATATTCAAGGGAGCAGTTACAAGAAGAAAATTAAATGATAATAACATCAATTTATAAGCTTATATGACTGATATTTGTTAGCTCTTACATTTAGGACTATCGAATGCTTTATCCACTTTGTTTAGTATACGGTAGTGTTGAGTATGGACAGCCATCAATATTAATTGCTTCTTTAGGATTTCCCCACCAATAATGAGAAAATGCTGGAATGAATGCAATAATAATAAGGGCCATACCAACACCCGCACTCATTGCTGCCGAAAATATATATGCATATTTGTGCCACCAATTATTTGCATATTTATAGAATAGAAAATTGAATAGAAAACCGATTAATAACCATGATGGAATAGTACCAGGACGTGAAGGTGGAATTTGTGTTAATGTTGCTAACATAACTGGAAAATGTACATATTTTAGCCAATTAATATTTGGATATTTTTTACTTAATAGCCAAGGTGGAATAGGAATTAAAGCACCAATAAGAAAAAAATATTCTATAAATGGATAAGTTTTAAGTATATTAGTTGCACCAATTATGCCCCATAAATCAGATACATCTGAGAGAAATCGAGCATTTGTACAATACCAAGTAAATGTAAAACAAAGATCATTAATATTTTTTAACATAATATATGATGTCAAATAACTAGCTATACAACCAACTATTGAACTTAATATTAATAATAAAAACATTGGACGTGGTGGAATTTTCATATAATGACCAAGTTTTAAACATGATAAAAATACTAATGAACGGCGTTGCATAGTATAACCATATGTTCTAAATGTCATATTACCAATTGAATCACTTTTCATAAGAAAACTACCAATAAATGATAATAATAATCCTATATCAGTATCTTGTGCTGTTATTGATTTTATAATACCACTTGGTAATAGAAATAAAAAATTAATTATTAAAAGTAAAAGTAAATTATACCATGGCATTAATTGACCAAAATGACAAACAATTACTGAACCAAACACGCATATAATCAATAATATTGAATACCAATACTCTGGTACTTCCTTAAATTTTGACATTAATTTTCCGTGAACATCATTTACTGCTTCATCCAATGACATAAAAAATTGTTCTTTTATATATTTACCATGATATAATACTGTATGTATAATAAGTGATGTTATAGCAGTAAAACAAATACAAAAATTGACAAAGAGTATCGGTGTTACACGAATAGGACCATATACTTCATAGGCTGTTTGATTTAAATAAGACATTTTATTTAAAATTGCTTTATAAACAAATAAACTACCATTTACAGTAAATACATCTTGTGAAAATATAGGTAATACTTTTGCATTCCATGAGTTTGTATAATATAAAATAGGAACTATCATCCAAAATATGACTACAAAACCGACAAATATATTACATAGAGCCCATGTCGGATAAAAAATTGGTGATGGAAAAACGAATGTAAGCGCGTTCCAATCCAATCGTAATGCGCCTATACTCATTCCTTGCATACCAGTTAACTGACCAAACTTGAGATTATTTTGATTGATAAAGCATAATACTGAAAAAAATGTTAATATAGGCATAAAGTAAGTGGGTAACCAAGTATAAATAAATTCAATAACCAATACAATAAAAAAAAACTTAAGTCGTCCAAGTTTCCATGTTGTAGCAAGTGACTCTTCTTCATCTGTTTTATCTTCATGTAACGTGCGAAATACGGCACAATCAACAACAACAGTAGGCCATATCATTCCTGCTGGCCATACCAGAAAACGGCGCATAATACCTACGAAAATGATGAGGTCTTTATTCTTTAAAGATACAACATACTTATACCGTTCTCCTCTATAGAATGAACTCACGAAAACAATAAATCGAAACATGTCCGAAAAATCTTGATTGAATAAATAAACATTTTTATTTTACAGTCGATAAAAAATGCAGTTAAGACTTTTGTTAATGGGGGCTCCCCCCATTTAGATTTTTCTCTAGCGTTTCCAGTTTGTAGAGGACACTTCGAAGTATATGTCTTCGAAGTATTTTTCGACTTACTGACGCTATTTGGCTGAGAAAAAAATTAATTACTTAAAAAAATGTTGTTAAATTTTTGAACGCGGGGTTATTATTAAAAAATTCCTGTCCATCTTCCATTCATCACAAAAGCTTGGTTCTTGCCTAGATCGATAGAGAAATGTGTGGAGAATATTTACTACGAGAAAATATGTAAACATTTTTGTTCTTTTCGTCCGATTATTGACTAATTGGTACTAATTAACGTTAATTTAGCCTACTCTACTTGCTTAAAGTCCCATTTGTAAAATGAGGACTCAACAAAAAATTTCAAGCAATACCTCATCTGATAGAGAATTTCACGAGCTACAATACAGGCTACCTTAGAAGTTTTAGAACTCATTTTTGGCTGCTGAGTAGGCCTGGTTTCTTTCTCCACTAAAGAATTGATCATGCTTTATGAGCGCATGAAGTT